CCCCTCTTCAGCCCGCCAGGCCGCAGCCGGAAACTCACACCACCAACAACTCCACCCTGGGCCCCTCCACGGTGCCGCCACTGCGTGCACTGTGCCCTCATCCTTGGGCGCAGTCGGTCCGTCCGCCCGCTTCGCCGCCATTGGGAAGCAGTCCACTGGGCTGGGGTTGGTGCCGTGCGCCTCCTCTCCTCCTCCCTCCGCTACCCCCCTCCGGCGATGCCTTCTCCTCTTTGTGCTGACCCTCCCTGCCTTCCGCCCACTGCTGCCGCCACCGTCGCCACTGCCACTTCCGGAGCCAAAAACTCAAGTCGCTGGAGGACAGCCACAGCCCCGCCTCCACCCCTGCCTGCTTCCCCAGTGGGTGGTACACACACGCATCCCTCCACATGCCCCACATTCCTTCTGTCCCTCCACCCCTCTGCCCCGTCCCCGGGAGGTTGCTGCGTTCCCCCTGTGCACTCGTGTTCATTCTAAACCGCCCGCCTCGCCCTGTGCACTCTCCGCCGAAACTCCAGCAATTTAATTCACAGGTGGCCGGCCAGTTCCCTTTGCGAGAGGTTGCAGCTGGGAAGGATTTTATCTGGACAGCCATTCTCTCTCACTTTTCTGGTCTTCCTCAACAGCCTCTTCTATTTCTGCGCCCATTCTACCCCTGAGGGAGGCAGCAGGGACTGAGGGCATAGTCTGAATCTATGCCCCCACTCTCTACGTCCAGCCTCGCAGATTGAGAGGCATCTCAGGTCCTTTTCCACTGACCTGACCACCTTTACCGTAAACTTAACCTGACCTTCAAGGTCCTTAATAGCCCTCAGACCCCGGTCCGAGATCAGTGAACACGGCCTTTAAGATTAATGCCCGTGAGGAGAAGGCAGAATCAGAGTGGGAGGCCCACCTTCAACAGAAGGTAGACCTACAAACTTGGTTGCGCCCCTGTGGCTGACGGCAGCCGCCATGGCCCCAAGGGGGCTGTGTGCGGTGGGGGTGCAATGAAAGGAAAGCCACCCAGAGAATGCTTCAAATGTGGAAATGAAGGCCACTGGGCAAAGCATTGCCCCCAGCCCCCGGGTTCCAACCAAGCCCTGCCCAGCGTGAGGTCAAAGCGGCCACTGGAAAAGTGACTGCCCCTCGAAAGGTGGTGGGTCCTCTGCACCCCAGTGTGGAGGGGCCGCCCTTCCAGGTCATGACCCACCACTGGCCATGCTGGGCCTGGCTGACTGAAGATGCCCTGACACGATGACCCCCACCACCCTCGCCGAGCCCAGGGCCACACTGAAGCTAGTGGGTCATCTTCCTGGTCGACACGGGGGCTACCTTCTCTGTCCTGCCCTCCTTTTTAGGGCCCCTTTATCCTTCCAAGATCTCAGTCATGGGTATTGACGGCAAATCCACCTGCCCACTGACCACCGGACCCCTTCCCTGCCTCCTTGATGATAGCCCTATAACCCACTCGTTCTTAGTCATGTTTTCATGCCCCGTGCCCCTCTTAGGACGAGACATCCTCACCAAATTAGTGGCCACTCTGCAGCTCACTCAGAGCCCTTCAGCTTCCCTGCTCCTTCCACTCCTGGCCCCCTCCCTTCACAGGGACGCCAATACCCCACTGCCATGCATCCTCTTATGGGGCCCAGTTGTCCCAAACCACAGTCGCCTACCTCAGTCTCGCCTTATCTCCTTATCTCCTCCACGACTGTCCTCTCCTCTGAACTGAAAACTGCTCTGACTTCCCCCCATCCCTCTCCACCTTCCCAAAGGATTCAACAGTCGAGCTATTATCAGAAACTGAGATCATTATCTCTAGGAAAAATTCGGCAGTTTTAAAATCCAAGCGGCTAGAGGCCTGGGAACAGGCTGCACGACCTGCTCCCTCTCTCCCCCTGCCTTTTCTTCAGCCTCCAGGTCCCTGGCTTCCACTGCTCCGCCCCTTTCTCTTTTCCCTTGGATAACAGCGCATTCTAACATTCCTCCCACTTTCACTGCAATACCTACCTCTCTCAGGCTCACCAAATGCCTCCCACCATCCCTGAAGAAGATTCGGCGACACCATACAGGACCTGATGACCCATCATTCCTCACAGGCTCTTACCTGGCAAGTGACCCTCCAATTTTTACTCTGAAAAAAGCTCAGGTTTTTAATATTTTCAGGTGAAACGGACATGGAATGATGAGGAAGTCACCAATTCTACTGTCTGGGATGGGAAATCCTCTAGTGTCACTCTCTATTTACGAACCCTGGACCTACTCCTATGCCCACCCTCATCAACACAACTTTCCTTCTACTCTCTAACATCAATCCCTCCTCCTCTACATCCTGCTGGATTTCTCTGTCACTGGCCTGAACCCTCATCATAGCCACTCAATTCCAACCTATTGGACGATCTAACTAAACTCTCTAGAAATTCGCAGCTCCTGGCTGAATCCGGGCTACACCAAGGAGCTCCACCTTCTTAAGCCCTTTTTGAACTCCTATATGGGAGACCCTTCTTGCTCAACCACCGTCTCCTTACTGATCCCCCTCCCCTGGGTACTTATCTTCCATATCTTACCCAGGTAATTGCTCTGAGAACAGGAGAACAGGTTTCTGCCCAAGCCAGAGCCGACCGACCAGGACTCCCGAGGACCAGCCCTTCACCCTGGTGACTCGGTCCTCCTTAGGAACCTACATCCACAAGCCTTGGAGCCTAGGTGGACGGGACCTCACACTGTAATCCTCACAGCCCCCACCACGGCCAAGCTGCTTGGCGACCCCAGCTTGACGACCTGTCCTGGCACCGCCTCTCCAGAGACCTGTCC